TACTATGCACTAGATAACTGTTCTAAGTGCTTTACAATTATTAAAACCCTACAAGGTAGGCACTGTTATTAACTTTGTTTTACAACAAGGAGGTTTAATAACTTGCTCAGGATCAGTCTCAGAGTAAATGGGATTGAAATCCAGGTGATCTAATTCTAGTGTCTGCACTTTTAATAGTAGAAAGAAGATAACTTCAAGTATTTATTAAATTCTATTTTTTAGACATCATACTTAATTGCTTTTATTCACATAGAAGCTGTGATCATCTTTCAGGGACATTTTAGAAAGAATTATCTCTTTGGGTAGAAATTATATTAGGATGTCTTGAATCCCATGGTTCTCTTATTATTATACAGTGATGGATGGAAATGGGGGGAAAAGCCAGGAACAAGATGTCTGACCTGAGGCTTTTTTAATTGATCGGAATTTTTATCAGAAAGGACACGGCGAGTGTCTATGATAAGTACTATAGGAATTCAGTTTATCAAGACTTCAGAACGTAGTCATAAGTTATATATAATGTAAAAGGATGAACCAAAAATAACTTTTGAGATGGTGAATGGAAGCCTTAGAAAAATGGAGAAATCAAAGTTTCATGGAAATATGACAATACTTTTGAAATGTATATTTCAAGTATTGGCAAGATATGTTAGGGTAAGTAGATGACTTTTAGTAAACTGAACATATGGAACTGGTGCTTGATACGAGAAGGTAGTTGCTTTAAACTCAATAAACAATAACCAAAATAGCAAATGCATAAGGGAGGAAAGAGCAGTCCAACCCAGACTTAAACTTCAAGTGGCCATAAATTGATGGGGAGGAAGACGAAAAGGATTCCACAATCTAAATTAAGAATTTGCCAAGCTTTGAGGTACAGAGGGAGTCATAGAAGCCAAATGTAAACCAATTAGAGTGATGGAGGTATGGTCAGCAATGCCTCCTCTAAGAATTTCTTATGAAAAAATCTCAGGTGAGACCACTGAACTTGACAAGGGAAAAGTCATTGCTCTTAGGACATGGTTTCTGGCCAATAAGAAGAATGCAAGTTTTACTGCAAAGGAACAAATAAAATGGAAAAGAAAGGGAGAATAGCTGTGAAGTTGAGCTATAGTTATAGAAGTTTGTTTGTGAAGAAAGTATTTGGAAAGGGAAATGAGGCTTAGTGAAAAATGTAGATTAAAAGAGACTTATACATGTTTTAAGGTAAAGGAATAGGCTGATGTCTAGCTATCTAGAACATTTTAAATAAGAAAGTCTTTATTATTATATCAGCAGTGAGTCTAGTTTCCCATAAAAATAAGTTGTGTTTCTATAGATGGGTTTCAGGAGAATAAATCAGTTGTACATCCTATGTTAGTATTATCTCATTTAGATTAAGACCCTGACTCCTTCTTTGCAGTGGCCTAAAGTCTTCTCCTGATCTGCCTCCTACTTGTAACTGTAATCTCTATTCTGCTACTCTCTTTCTCAATGCCTTTGGTGGAACCACAGAGGTCTTCTGGCTATTCCTCAACCATGCCAGGACTGTTCCCTATTTAAGGGCCTTTGCATTTGCTGTTCTCTCTGCCTTTAACATGCTTTCCCTACATACCTGCATAGCTATCTCTTCCTTCGTTTAGCTCTTGACTCAAATGTGCCTTTCAGTGAGGCCCTCTCTGCTTTTCCTATTTCTAACTGAAATACCTTATTTACTACCTCTGTTATCCCCAATTCGTTCCCTTCCTATGCCTCTTTCTTGTTTTATTGTTTTTCACAGCACTTAACTCCACATAGAAAATTATAGATTTCATTTATCAATTTTGCTTTTTGTCTTCTCCTACTAGAATTTAAACTCTGTGAGTTCAAGAATTTTCCTAGCTCTAGAACAATGCCTGATACTTAATAGGCACTTAGTAACTGTTGCATGAATGAACCAGTGTAATATTCTTTGTGGAAACTGATATAAAAATATTCTTCTTCATCATCAACATCATTATTAATAAGCATTTTGGATGCTATATATACAATTCTGCTGCTGCTAAGTCGCTTCATTTGTGTCTGACTCTGTGTGACCCCATAGATGGCAGCCCACCAGGCTCCTCTGTCCCTGGGATTCTCCAGGCAAGAATACTGGAGTGGGTTGCCATTTCCTTCTCCAATATCTAGAATTAGGCTTCATATATCCTATTATTCAGGAGTTGGCAGACTTTTTCTGTTAAGCATCAGATATAAATACTTTTTGGAACCATATGGTTTCATCACAGCTACTCCACCCTGTTACTATAATGCAAAAGTAGCCGTAGACAATCCCTGTATGAGTATGATTGTATTCCAATAAGAGTCCATGTGTGGACACTGAAATCTGGATTTTGCATAATTTTCAAATGTCATAAAATATTATTTTCTTTTGATTTTTTTTCCCCCAACTGCTAAAAAGTGTAAAAATCATTTATAGCTCTCAGGCCATTAAAAAAAAAAAAAAAAGACTCACAAGCTGTAGTTGTCACCTCTATTTTTACTGGCTTCTTAAACATATCTTAGTTGAAACATTTTTCCTTTAGTGGTAGGAAGCAACAGTGTAGATTAAACCTTAGTAACAGATAATTCAGGAATAATTTTGTTTGGCTCCAGAATCTTCCCTGGTGGCTCACATGGTGAAGAGTCTACCTGCAGTGTGGGAGACCTGGGTTCAATCCCTGGGTCAGGAAGATCCCCTGGAGGAGGAAATGGCAACCCACTCCAGTATTCTTGCCTGGAAAATCCCATGGACAGAGGAGCCTGGCAGGCTACAGTCCATGGGGTCGCAAAGAGTTGGACATGACTGAGTGACTTCAGTTTACTTTAAAATCTTCCATATTGCTTCATTTTTGTTTTCCTGGGAACCTTATTCTTTCATTTTGTTTATGAAGCTAATATTTAAGTGAATTTGTGTTCTCTGAGCAGATTCCACATGATAGTGTTGGGGAGGTGGTGATGATGGTAGCAAAGCTTGGGCAAAGCCCACCCAGGCTTCAAAGCTTGTCATTATTTAAAAGGTAAATAATTCCCATATGGGAGAATCAGGAGTTGTCAGCCAAGCTTAATGCCCAGAGGACTGTTACTGTGAATGAGAATTGTGTTGCAGTTTTAACATCATCCATAACAGATTTCTCGAATAAGTTGCAAATGCTTTTAATAATATGGGTAATTTTAGCTATACTACATTGGCAATTTTTGCTGCTTTACTTAAAAAACAATTAGAAAATAACCTATTCTATTATAAAATCAAGCTGTGATTTGAATAAAGCATGATATTTTCCTCAGTAAGTACAAAGAGAGAAAAAAAGGTTTTTCATTTGTAAAACTTTTAAAAATATTTATAAAGTTTTTCACATACTTTGTTCAATTCTAACAAGAGCCTCATGATGGAAGTAGCTTTATTAACTATTTAAAATGTGAAAGAGCTGATAGTGAAGTTAAATAATTTATTCAAGGTCATCCCACTCCAGATAGGCCTTCTGACAACATGAGGGGAACACTCCTCATTGGAAACGTCAGCCAGCCTTTGGCTTCAGTGCTGTGCCCTCTCCTCACCGCCTCTCATTCTCTAGCTTACCTGTTCACAAAGATGCTCAGAGCTCCAGCTGCTCCTGGTTCTGCTGTGCTTACTATACAGAGCTCTGAGAGAAGATGAGGAGGCTGGGGCTGGCTCCATTACTGCCACTGAAACTACTTACTAGTTTTGTTTCCTCTTCCATTCTGTCTTAGTCCCCAGATATCTGGTCCTCCTTCTTTCCTCAAAACTATGACCTCTAAAGACCTTATGTGGTTAGCCAATGGCTACTAAACTTTATGGACAGGTTGGCAAAGACAAGAAGGAATGAAACAGAACCCCAGGGTTTAAAGTCTGGGTGGTTGGGAGAGTCAAGACAGTGACTGAGCTTCAGAGGATGCAATAGGGGCTGGTTTTGAGGGGGAGAATTTGGTTTGGTTTAAATATATTATCTTCAAGGTAATGGTGGAACAGCCTTGTAGTTAGTTTTCTATCCTCCAAAAAGTCAAATGGCGAAATAGGTTGTACCAGGTATCTGGGGCAACAGCCAAATGGCAAGATTTATAGTTAGAGTCAAAGACTTTGTTCCTTTTAAATGCTTCTTAGAGATCCTGTTTAAACAACCTCTTCATTATGAAAATAGCGACTTTCTATGCATTTTTTATGGTGTCTGGAGAAAATTGTTATAAACACTACACACATTTTGGGATGGTTGTGCATCTTACAAATCAGTGGTGGCATATAAAAAGATTTCTCAACATAATATGTGGGAAATGTTGTAGACTGTTGTTCTTGAATTGTTTTCCCTTCTTCACTTTGGTGTTTGTATTGTACCTTACATATTTTTAATGTTATTTTGATGTTATGCTGTGCTTTTTTGGTTAGGAAAGTGGCTTGCTACCAGTATCTTTGCAGATTGAAGTTTCTGAAAAGTCTCTTTGAATTCTTCCCCATTCCTGTACCTCCTTTTCCCTTGTCACAGTCTCAACCCCTTGAACATGATCCAGAAATCTAGATATAGGCCATCTCAGTGGAAATAAGAAAAACTTATTATTCCTCAGTGCTTAATTGAAGCCACCTGATATTTTACAGATTTTAAATTTGAGAGGGTAAGGGGATCAGTCCATGCATTATCATGTGTGTCTTAATTCTGTCAATTGACTTAGTCAAAAGGAGAAAGTTACTGAATTTGAAGACAAGTCTCCACCATGCTGCACAGAACAGCGCTGTTACAGCACACCAGCCTGCGCCTACATGAAAAAAGCCATGGTTGTGTTTTGCCTCTGAATAAGGATCATGGTTAAAAAGACATGAGTATGTGGCTAAGTACTCTAAACACTTCCCCTAAAATGAGACAGTCTTATAGACTGTGCCTTCAGGTTTCTCAATTCACAATCTCGTATTTTCTTGAGTAAATTGCATTATCTTGTAAGTTTGTGGACTTATAAGAAGTCAAATGTTTTCACGGACTCCTCTCTTTTCCATATAGATGTCCGGAGGGCTTCCTGGGAGAATACTGTCAACATCGAGACCCCTGTGAGAAGAATCGCTGCCAGAATGGTGGGACGTGTGTGGCCCAGGCTATGTTGGGGAAAGCTGCGTGCCGATGTGCCCTGGGCTTCACGGGCGAGGACTGCCAGTACTCCACTACTCACCCCTGCTTCGTGTCTCAGCCCTGCCTGAACGGAGGCACCTGCCACGTGCTTGGCCGGGACACCTATGAGTGCACCTGCCAAGTTGGCTTTACAGGTAACAAGTGGAACTCGGGCCCATACTTTCCTATTCTCAGCAGGTACTTCCATTTAGTGCCTTTCAGATACTCTCATCTGGTTCTTTAAGGTCCCCCTCTATAGTACATTTTCAGCATTATGGGAAGGAACTGGAATGTCCCAGTCAACTATCCTTAACTTCCGTTTGAAAGGGAGAAAGAGAAAGCAAAAGGGTCAAATGCTCGGCAGTGGTTGACTGCCTGAAGTGTATATATCAGGACTGGGGATCAGAATCACTTCCCTGTCACTGGAAGAAAAGTTGTTCATGTTATTGATAACTTATTCCTTAAAAACTTCTCTCCCCAGACATTCAGGGCACTGGCTTTTCTGGTTTTCTAAACCGATTGTTTCTTTTGCTTCTCCATTGCCTTGTCCTTGTCCTTATGCATTTAATTTTCGTGTTCTTTGGAACTCTGTTTTGAGCCCTCTTTTGAGCCATATGACAGCTTTCCCCAGGGAATCTCACTATCTCCAGTTTCTTTAGCTGTCATCATCTTCATCCCCTGCTGATGACTCTCACGATCATCCTTTTTGCTTTACACGATCACTGACATTCAGTCTCGTATTTCTAACTATCTATTGCATATTATCTTTGGAAATTCAACAGGTACCTGAAACTCAACATGTTGATACAGATAGTGACACCAGTGTACCCTCCAAATACCCCAAGCTAGAAACTCCCTCTCATTTATCTGTACCTGACTTGGACTCAGGCATGCATTTTAATCTGAATTACTTCTCACCCGTCTGCTGCCCTCCATTTCCTCTTCTGCTCTGTAGCGACGTCCATGTCCTTTCTCACCCGGACTCCTGCAGTTTCCTCACCTTTACTTTCTCCTCATCTTGTTTACCTGTCACATTGCCACATCTTTAATTATATATGCAAATCTTCTCACAAATTCACCTGCTTACCATGCCTAGTGACTTTTCATCATCTGCAGAGTAAACTGCAGACTCTTTTACTTGGCTTTCACAACCCTTCACAGTCTAGGCCTTGCGTCTTTTTATAGCCTCACCTTCCCACAAGCATCTCGCTTTAGTGACGCAAGCATTCTCATCATTTCCTGAAAATGTCATACTTCCTGTTGCCTCCATGCTATTGCATACCCCTTTGCTGGAATGCCTTTTTCTACATTTGGAGATTGCCTAATGTTATTGTAACCTCTCAGTGACCCTCTCATGATTCCTCTACACAGTTAGTCTCTGTGTTCTATTATTTTATGTGTCATAGTTTATCGTAATTAATTTTTACATGTCTCTCATCTGACTGTATTATGGGTTCTTCAAAGGTGGGTCTGAGCTTTATTCAAAATGAACCATAAGTGTTTATTAACTTAGTTGTGAAAAGGAGAACTATTCACTGTTTTGTCCTCCGGTATATCAACAATTCTGTAAATCTAATTAGAAAATGAAAAACACACCAGAAAATTAGACTGGATCATTCAGTTTGGAATGCTTGTTCTTTTGGTTTTTCATTAAAAGGTGTTGTTACAGTTATATCTCCATCATGACTATGACAGCATTGATACTGTGAGTCACTGAAGAGATTTGGTGGTTGAGAGAATAATTTTTCCTGGTTGTCAGTTTCAAGTTGTTTTGCTCCACAAGGCAGGGAGGGCATATCCACTTAAAACATTTTAATCCTGACTAGTGGAAACGGCAGTGATACCTTCTTCATAATTAAAATGTTACTCTGAAATAACCCTCAAATTAAAGCGGATTCCTTGCTATTAAAAAGATCTCTTCTTGGTGGTCCTCAGGGTGCTAATCATCTTTATACATCTGCCATTTTCATCTACCACTTTAAGAACCACCACAGGTCAAGCTCGCTCTTTTAGTTTTGGGATAACTCACTGCCTTACCTCATCAGACCTTATGAGCTCACCTCACTCATAGATGAAAGAAACAGAGGCAGAAGGTTAGTGCTCGTACAAAACATATATGGGAAACCAAGATCAGCAACCTTTTTGTTTCAGTTGTAGGCAAATACTCTGATATACACTGTTGGCAGAAGTAACCATTTTTATCTGTTATCCACTGTAGGTAAGTACTCTCAATAGAATGAAGGAAAATAGGGAGAAAAACTAAGGTTCCTTCATTCTGTCTTCCCTGAGGTATACATGCTGTACGTAGATTTTTTTTCCACCTTCTCCCTTTGATTTGATATTCCTGGTAGATAGAGCACGCTTTTATGAACTCATGTGTTACCTCTCTCTCCCTTTTAGAGAATCTGTCATGACTCTTACTTGCTCTTCTATGGGGAGGTGGGGTTAAAGATTTGGATGTTTACCTAGACAACCAATTGGAGTATTAACACATTCAGGAGATTCTCAGATCTTTAGTTTTGAAAAAAACTCGAACTCATGAAAATAGAAAGCCATGTGAATATCGAATTTACTAGTAGCATAGGAGTATTTTTTCCCCCTCTCTCTGTCTACCTCAGAGAATCTGTTTTGATTCCTTGAGATCAAATACTGTCTTCCTGATTCTTTCTAGTGCTTTCCTACCTGAGACAGTCCATAAGAATTACCTTTCTAGACCTTTATTCTTATGACAGCTTCTAGTTTTTTTCATGTTTAAGAAGCCAGAGATTCTTATCTTCTTCAAACACATCCAGCACTATTTTTGTCAAGACCACAATTAACAAAATGTTTCCCAGAATACGTGTGCATGTGTGTTGTGTTTAAGGGAAGTAGTAGTCATATTGACTTGTTTTTATCATCTAAGAGGTTTGTTTAGCCACAGTGTATTGTGGAAGATATCAGTACGCTTTATTTTCATTCACAAGACATGATTTGAGAGCCTACTCTAGGGATCGGAGCCTTGCTAGTGTGACAGGTGACATAATAAAAGGAAACAGCAAACCTGGGGTATGTGTTTGCATGTGTAGGGGTGTGTATGTGAGGGAAAGAGAGGGGGTGGGGGTTTGGGTACCCGCGTGGAGCATTAAGGATGACTTTGTGGCTGTGGTGACTTAGGAGTAGAATTGTCAAACAGTGGCACCCATTGGGTGAACAACAAGGAAGACAGCGGAATATCTTAGGGAGATATCTCCAAACAGAGGAGTGTCTTAGGGAGAAACAAGGAGGTGAGCCACGAGATGGATCCAGACCCTTCTGTGCTGCAGGGGTTCTTGTGGGCTTCCCGTGATTCACCTACAGTCACTCCTGTGCTCCGCCGAGTCTTCGTGTCTCAGCTAAGGGCCCTGGAGAGTGCTCCTGTCGGATGAACTCGGGGAGGCTCTGATAATGGCCTCCTGTACAGTTCAGAGAGCTTAGGGATTCTCCACGCAGTGGCTGCGTTGCATCACCTGTTGGGTGGGAGATGTGGGGTGGGATGGGGCTGACACCCATTTCTGCGGGCAGTGCTTACGTCTGTTATCTTTCCTGTAGGTAAACTGTGCCAGTGGACTGATGCCTGCCTGTCCCACCCCTGTGCAAATGGAAGTACCTGCACCACTGTGGCCAACCAGTTCTCCTGCACATGCCTCGCAGGCTTCACGGGGCAGAAATGTGAGACTGACGTCAATGAGTGTGATGTTCCAGGGCAGTGCCAGCACGGGGGCACCTGCCTCAACCTCCCGGGTTCCTATCAGTGCCAGTGCCCCCAGGGCTTCACAGGCCGGCACTGCGACAGTCCCTACGTGCCCTGTGCGCCCTCCCCCTGTGTCAACGGGGGCACCTGCCGCCAGACCGGTGATTTTTCCTTTGAGTGCAGCTGCCTTCCAGGTAAGGAGTGCCCCTAGTGTCCTGGGTCGGGGGATGCACCTCCAGTGGGAAGGAAGGGGGTGGGGTGTGGTTCAGTGTTCCTTGAGGAGGTATCCTTCCCAGCAGGGAAAAGGGGAAGTGAGAATGTTGTGTGGGGTGGTTTACTGGTGAGAGAGGAGTTTTATGGGCCCAGTGTGGTCCATAAACTGAGCAGGGGGTAATTTAACATGTCAGAGTTTATGATGATGAGTGACTTGGAAATTGTTTATTGTCCTTTTTGGAGGAACAGTGAGAAATAAGAGAAACGGAGCTCTGGGAAAGGATTGATAAGTCTATAGAATGGAAAGGAACATAAGGAGAATTAGACATTGACAAATTTATATGTGTGATTAATAAAATGCTTTAAACTGAGTTGATAGTAATAATAGATGATCAACTTTCTTATATGCTTTTACCTCTGATGGAATAATGGATTATTTTACTAGTTACCTGGTTGCACCCCCCTACTCTTTTATAATTTTCCTTGAAATTCTGGTCTTTAGAACCCTCTCTGTGTAGTCTCTCTGACTTTGGGGTCACCCTACCCAGACTTGAAGCTGTAGACTTTTGCAGCTGGTGTGGTGGTAGTGCTCTGTTAATGAGTGAGCACTTTTTGATGAGCGCTGATAGATTATGTATGGCACAACGACACATAACCCAAGATAGAAGCAAAAGAGGAGCAATGTGTGGGAGCTTGGGGCCCATTGTTCCATAGGATGGAAAAAGGAGCAAGGCTGGCCAGTTCATTAAACTCCTTATAAAACTGATGAGGAGGCCGAAAACTGAGAATTTTGATTGAGAACAGAGCCCAAGTGGCTGGAGCAGATGAATTACTAAGCAACAAAGATTCTGTTTTTATACAAATATCCTTAGTGCAAAAACAAAAGAAGGAAAAACCGTAGGGGGGAATAACGTGCTGAGTAAGCAGAATTGCCTCAAAAAGCTGTTGTGGCCACTTTTTTGGAGTAGGAATCTTAGATTCTGGTGTTGTGGATATGGGTCACATGTAATGGGATCGTGTGTTTTCTCTTTTGGGGATTAAAGGCCATACGTTGGTCTTCAGGATAAAAGCAAATGGTAATTTATTCATTTCATTCAGTTAAAATTTTTTGGCTGCCAGCTATGTTCTAGGCACCATCCTATGTACTTGGAATACACAATACAAGACACTGCCACATAATAAAAAAGATACCACTTAACCATAAGCCACAAAAACAAGTTGTTTAATTGCCTTTCTTTCAGTTTCTCTTTCGGTGAAGAATAGATAATTAATGCTGTCATTTTAGACACTAAATATTTATTTACCTAATATTATTGTCATCCACATTATCTTGTAGAAGGAATAACTAAAAGGTATCTTTCTTCACTCCTGCTTTTGTTTGCATTTTAAGGGTTAAAAGAAGGAAACAGAAATGTAAACAATTTAATTTTGTGAATATTCTAATAGTCTGGTATTCTAATAGCCTAAGTGGCCAGTAATTGAGGTTAGTGCAATTTATTGCTGACCACTAAATGTGTCTTTTAGTTTCAAGAAAATTAGTTTTAATAGTTGCCTAGGACAGGAGGTTGATTTGGCAGCAAAGTACTAACGGGAAGTTAGAGAAGTCAATAAAGGAAGTTTTTAGCGGGGAGAGAGTGATTATTCACTCCCATAGCCTCTGCATTGTTATCCATTAGCCACGATAAGAACCTTAGGGAATTCTGAGAGTGTGTCCAGGAAAGGATCTGTCAAACCAGAATAGTATCTCCTCCTTGAGAAAGGAAATAACCAGGGATTCCACAACTAGAGGCTGCCAGGGCTGGTGGGATGGAGTAAGGACGTCTTGGCTGTCTCTTACACTCTGCTTGCAGTTTAAAGCAAGACTTTCTTTTTTCTTTAATATACTGATGAAGTGTGTGTATGTGTGTGTGTTTGGGATTGGGATGGGGGTGCAAGGCTGGGGGCAGAAGATTTGGCAAAGAGCAAACTAACATTTATTTAATGCCTTTTATAAGTCAGGCACTGTGCCAGGTACTTCTGCAGCCATTAGCTCTATTACACAAAATCCTTGGGGATAAGTAGTATTGTTCAAGTTTTCCCAGGTGAAGCAACTCAAGTTTTGAGATGTGAAGCAATTTACCCAAAGTTGTACAGATGACATGTGGTTAGGCCGAGTCCTGCAACCAGGCAGGCTGTCTCCAATTGTTAACCGCTCGTCTGCCCCTGAGGGTGCTTTGGAATGTCTGAGACTTTTTGTTAAATGTTTAGGGATGTATGGGTTAAAAAAAGTAGGTTCATGTTAAAAGAAAAAGGAGATACTTCTAATTATGATCGATAGTATTTGTTACCAGCCTGTGTATGGGCTTCCCAGGTAGCACAGTAGTACAGAATTTGCCTGCCGATGAAGAAGACGCAAGAGATGCGGGTTTGATCCCCTGGAGTAGGAAATGGCAACCTGCTGCAGCATTCTTGCCTGGAAAATTCCATGGACAGAGGAGCCTAGGGGGCTACAGTCCATGGGGTTGCAAAGAGTCGGACACGACTTGAGTGACTGAGCACATGCCTACAGGCTGTGTATGGCATCATGCAGATACCTAAAAATAGTAAAGTAGGCTAGTTGCTGCCTTTCAGGGTCCCATGATCTGAAACAGATGATGTCAGCTTGGATAATATATAGAAGGAAACTTTAAAAATAATTAAAAACAATAGATGATGCAATAACACTGTGAATAAATATATATTTATACAATGTGTAAGATTTTATGCTCATTGGTTTTTATGTCCCAGGTGGAGTTTGCAAAGTATTAACTTAATTTCCACATAGGGGAATATTGTCTGGAGATGCTTTTCTTTTACAGAGTCCTTTTTATAATGCAATACCATTCTCCTGTCCCTCCTGCATTGCCCCCAACACTAGTCAAGAGACTAAAATATTACTTAAAATAGCAATCACTGTCTCAGTGTAAATAGCATCCTTACTTGAAGAGAATCATTATTTCCATTCTAAAGATGGGGAAACCAAGCAAGTGACAGGTAAAATCACTTTTGTCCAGGTTCTGCAATTCTCAGGTGGCTGCTTCTCACCCCATTTCAAATCTTGGCAGTTTTAACTGAGGTCTGCCCTGAACACCTTCAGATTGTAACCTTTCACTTCCCCCTTCATCTCTGACCTTGGTCTACCTTTTCTTTTCTTTTTTGGTAACGCTTGTCATCATCTTACTGTATAATTTTCACTATATAATTTACCTCCTTATGACTATTGTTTATTGTCAGTCTCTCCAGATTCTTCTGCCTCTTCTCCTCTCCAGGGTAAAAGCTAGGATCTCTGTTTTTGTTTGGTGATGTATCCCAAGCACATGGAAACCGTGACAGGTATATAATAGGCACACACCTACTGACTTTACAGGCTGAGTTTAGTATAGTACGGTAGCACTGAGAGCATAACTTTGGTCTTATTTTCTTCCTGGTAACATACCTGTTAGACTTAGTCAAGCTTCTCCTTCTGTACTGGTTTACACTAGTACTGAGTAAGAAGAATTGGAATTCTTTTCAACTCTAAAACTCAGTGAACCCCACATAAGTTAGTGATTATATTTGAATGGTTATGATATAGTTCTTTTCCTGCAAAGGGCACTATAGTTACTGAGATGATTTTAGTATTAAGATTGATGGGGCGATTAAAACTGTAAATATGTCTCATCCTGGGTAATAAAGAAAGAAATGTTTCTCAATAGAGGGAAGAAAAAAGGAATATATTCAAGAGAGAGCTGATAGAATGAAACCAAGGAACTGTATTCCATCTTCTTCTTGGTTCAGCAACTGTTAATAACCCAGATCCTTCATAAACTACCACTAGGTAAAGTTTTTAGCAGAAACTGTAAGGAGGAGTACTCAGCTAGAATACTTTTAGCTAAAGAGCAAAATGGACGATACATTCTTGAATCACTGACTCCCAATATTTTGGGATTTATGAGTTAAGTTGGTTGTATGTCTGTGGATATATTAAGAAGCAGCCGTGTGCTGTTTGCATCTCCTGGCTTTGCCTGCGAGTTCACAGGTGGACTGGACAATCCCTGATGGACTTTCCCTTTTTCTTTCTCTCCTGCACCTCCTTATTCCTTTATGATTTTTAAACTTCATAAAAAGCTGCCCAGTCTGTTCTCTCCAAACAAAGAAGGTTTATCCTTTGTAAATCACCCCTATACTTTACAGGCATGATTATATGTAATATCCCTGTATCATTAAAATAAAGCTTAGCCACATTCTATGGCTTTTGTGTCTGCTCTCCAGTTGCTGGGCTTAAAAACTCTTTAGAAATAATTCCCTTTTGCATTCTCATATGCACAAGGCATGTGACGTTCTCTGGGGTATTATACTAATCATATTCTGGCAGATTTCTCTGGAGCAGATGCAGAAATTATCATACCGTTTTGCAGGGCGCATTCTTTTAGCCCCTTTAGTTTGGGCCCTGAGTCCAGTTTTTTCTTGATGTTCCTTCAGGTTTTTCCTATCCTCCCATGCCTGACAGTTTTGCCCCTGCTATCTTCTCAGCCTTCTATCACTTACCTCCCCTTCCCACCCTGCCTTTTTGTATAGAATTTATTCTTTGTGATGTGCCAAAGGCATCTATTTCACTGAAATGCCTTCTGTATTCCTCACCCCTGGGGGTACTAGAGACTCTCTTAAGATCTTTCGCAACCTACCTACCTCTAGTGCAACACTTAGTAAACTTCCTGTTCATCCTTTCCAGTAGACACTCTCATCTTAACTACCCACCTCCTACCCCCGCCCCCAGTATCCAACCTCGTGCCTGGCACAAATTGAGACTGAGTGAATATTTGACAAATGAATGAACTGGATGTGATAGAGAAGAGCATTCCTATATTCTGTAATTTTTTTTTAAAGTTCTGAAGTTATTTCTTTTGAATCACTTTACTCATTTCTCTGACTTCTTTGGAGGAAAAGTTAGAAACGAAAGTAGACCTCATTTGGGAGATACAGAGGGAGGTGGGTAGGAACAGCAGCCTGGGTGGGTGGTGGGGCCAGCCATGGGGTCAGTGAGCTCACTGGGACCCATTCAGAGGATGGATAAAGTGTGCCAAGGAAACCAGTGAGATGGAACTGGGGCCAATTTGCTCATTTGACATGCTTCTTTCCGGAGGGCAGGGAGAGAAGGTAGTCTGTAGCTGTTTACCTTTGGTACTTTGTCCAGTCCCAGGTATCCCTGGGTTTTCTTCACTCTCTTATCCCTCTGCATGGAAGCTCTTCCTGAGGACCTTCAGCCTGGCCTGGGAGAATCCCTTCCCCTTTCTGCTCTCCTCTTTGAGCCTCTGCACCAAGTCTTTCCACCGTCACACCTCCTAGGGACTGAAAATGAAAAGATATGGAAGCTCTCTTGGGAGATGCTGGTATCTGTGTGGGATGACAAGTTCAAAAGACATTTTTCTGCTCCCCACCCTCCCTGTCATCGTTTATCAGTTACGTGGCCCATGGTGTATAACAGCACAGTCTTAAAAATGTTCCTTCTGAGTTTAATTTCTTTCTTTTTGGCCTTTTAAGGATGTGAGTTGGCTTCAAGCAGCGAACTCCTTTTAGTACAGTCATGTGAGCCTTTCCATAAGTCGGTTACACCCATCCCACCCACAGGTCTGCAGACTGGTCTGCTTCCCTTTCCCTTAAAACCTTAAAACATTTTAAAGAAGAGATTGCACTGTAACTTATTCAGTTAACCCATATCCATCCTCTGCACCCCCTTACCCCTACCTTGGGTAGACTTTTTATAAGAATTTGCTAGTTATTTCCAAAAAGAGCCTGTATCTCTATTTTTAAAGCATAAATCCTGTCTTAATTTTTGAGGAGAACTGATTTAGAGTTTTCTCAGCCAAACTTCTGGGAACTTTTGACCAAAGGTCAGTTTTTCAGATTTTTTGAAGAGAACTTTGGGGTCCCAGAGACCATACTGACTGAATCTAGGTAAAGTTTCTGGTTTAGGACTGCTTGCTGCCTCCTAGCCATGTAGAGTAAGTCAGCCATGTGGCCCTTCTTCATCTGTAACATAAAAGGATTAGAGTAGATAAACTCTAAGAGATGCTTTGATCCCATTGATATATAATAGTATTAGCTAATATTTATAAAACACAGTGCATCAGGCATTGTTATAAGTGCTTTTCCTTCTAATATAACAGTTTTATTGAGATACAATTTACATACCATATAATTTTCTTTTGAAGCACACTATTCAGTGGTTTTGAGTATATTTACAGATACGTGTAACCATTACCACAATAAAATTTTAGCTCATTTTTATATGACTTCAAAAGAAACTTTGTTCCCGTTAACAGTCACTCCCTAACCGCCCCCCCCAACCACCACTACCTTCTCTGCACCCCCCCCCCACCCCCGCCCACCACGCCCCCTGCACCAACTCCCTCCCAGCACTAGGCAGTTACTCATCTACTCTCTCTATAGAGCTGTTTATTCTGGACATTTCATATAAATGGGAACACACAGTATGCTTCTTGTGAATGCATTACATTCCATTATATGGATTTACCAGTTTGTATTTATCCATTCATCACAAAATAGACATTTGGGCTGCTTCTGCTTTTTTTTTTTCTTGAGAATTAAGAATAATGTTGCTCTGAACATTCTTGTACAAGTTTTTGAATGGGCATATATTTTCATTTCTTTTTGGTTTTACTTATGAGAGGAATTGCTGGGTGGTATGGTAACCCTATTTAATCTTTTCAGGACTCCCAGACTATATCCCATAGTGGCTGCACTATTTTATTATACATTCCAACCAGCAGTGTATGAGGATTCCCAGTTTCTTCATTACCTCACCAGCATTTGTTGCTGTCTTTTAAATTATAGCCATTCTAGTGGGTGTGCAGTGATAGCTTATTGTGGTCATGATTTGCATTTTCCTGGTGGCTGATGCTGAGCATCATTTCATGTGCTTATTGGCCTTTTGTATATCTTCCTTGGAGAAATGTCTCTTTAGCTCCTTTACCCATTTTATAACTGGGTTATTTGTATTATTATGGATATTGTATTTTTATTTTGTTGTAAGAATTCTTTGTATCTCCTAGATATGTGATTTGCAAATATTTTCTCCCTTTCTGTGGACTGCCTTTTTACTTTCTTGATTGGTGTCCTTTGAAACCCAGGTGGTTTTAATTTTGATGAGTTCCAAACTGTCAGTTTTTTCTTTTGTGACTTGTGCTTTTGGTCATGTGTGAGACATCTCTATCTAGCTCAAGTCTCAAAGGTTTCCTTCTATGTTTTATCCTAAGAATCTTATAATTTTAACTCATACATTTTTGAGTTCATTTTTGTTTATGGTATGAGGAAGGGATCCAACTTTATTCTTTTGCATCTAGATATTCAGTTGTTCCAGCGCAATTTATTAAATTTTTTTTTTCTGTCTAACTCATTTAATCATTAAAACAACCTTTCAGGTAGGTCCTGTTAATTAATCCAGAGAGGAAAGAGAGTTTAAGTATTAAGCATATATAATATTTTGCCCATATTCACTTAGCTACTGCATGGAAAGTTTGAGAATTGAATCTAGGCAGTTTAACCCCAGAGGCCATGCTTCAACCATGAATTAACTCTTTCACCCATTTGCCTTTCTGCCTAAGTAACTACATGGTGACAGGTTAAGAACTATCTCAAAAATAGTCATGAAAAGAAAACATTTTATTTCTTATATGTTATGGTTATGTTGAAATGTTTCTGCTTTCTTAATTTGTCTGTGGTTGGCAAATTCTATTCGTTGTAACATTGGCTAATAAAAATTCAAGTTCACAGTTTCAATTCCTTATAGTTTGGCTACAAAGTCTTCATCACCTCCTTGACATCTTAGTCAACCTTATTTAGTCTTAGTCACCAGGGAGATCAAGTTGGGGGAGGATGGCCAGTATCAGTTCTAGGATACCAACAAACCACACAGGTTCTTGCTGTGGTGGGCCAGGACTCCTTATTTCTTTCCCACATTCTGAAAGTGTCTAACTTTTCCGAAGAATGTTTCCATTTAAGAGCACTAGACTAGAAACAGAGCCTTCAGTTGTTGTTCAGGGACTGTACTTTGCGAATCTATAGATTTGCTCTCACTTTATCATAATTTTGGGTGGGCTTAAGCAGTTCAGCATTTACTGACTCAATCCATTTGTAAGATTGTCATATGATTAAACAGATATATGAGTGCATGCTAAGTCACTTCAGTCGTATCCGACTCTTTGTGACCCTATTGACTGTAACCCGCATGGCTTCTCTGCCCATGGGATTTTCCAGGCAGGAATACTGGAGTGGGTTGCCATTTCCTTCTCCAGGTGATCTTTCCAACCCAGGGATCAAACCCTCATCTCTTATATCTCCTACACTGGCAGGTGGGTACTTTACCACTAGCATCACCTGGGAAGCCCAGAGGATATTTGAGTAACATGATTAATTTTTTAAAAATCTGAGTCTATATAAATTTTTTTGTAGTCTTTCTCAAGCTTACTTAATGACTCATCTGCTTGCATGGACTTCTTACCAAATACCTGGAGAAATAGAATTCTTTATCTCCATCTTCTACAAAGTTATTTCCTTTGGTCTCTGGGTAGATTTTTGGGTACATGGTTCATACTCATGTACATGACTGCTACTGTATTCAGAGAAACCAGCTATGTTTCAGTATAACAGGGCAGATGTAGAACACCACAGTAGTTTGTGCTAAGGAATGAAGAAAAGGCGTGATTGATGTCTGCCCACTCACCAGACTGCAGTGTCCTAAAAGCAGGAACTCTTTCTTTTACTTAACTATACCAGTGCCAATTTTGAGTAAAAGAGAGAAACTTAAGGGACATTCTGAAGAGGCCAAATACTTAGTCATATGTATTTCAAATAAGGGAATGTTCAGTAAACTTCCTCTCTTTTCTTAAAGCTGATAGTCTTCCATTTAGTAGTTAAGAGATTTGGTAGCAAGGAAAGAGAAAGAAAAAAGCCCAATGTGTAAATTATATAGGGAAACATACTATGGGCAATTAGGGTGAAGTTTTGATGTGCTCGTTTCATTTTTCATAAAAAGGAAAAATCAAGAGGAAGGAAGCAGTGCTATAAGTATGAAAAGAAGGATGAACAATTTGAAGAGTTGGCAAGTTTAGTTAGTAATCATGCCACCCCATATTCAGATAGGTTGTTATATTTATATTGTGTTGTACTTACGATGTGGCACTTATAACAACCTCGAAAGACATGCTGGGCAGGTGCAGCCAGACTTATTTTACAGATGAGGAAGCTACTTTAGAGTTTGTAATTTACCAAGTATTAAATGGCTTATAAGCAGTGAGGTTAGAACTTGACCCTTATCTTCAGACTTTCAGTTCAGTATTTTTTTAATGTCTCCATATTCTCCCCCATGATTTATCCCAAGAAAAAAACAAAAAGGAATTTAAATTTAAGTAGGTAATCTTTTATTTGTTCTTAATCTAGCATGGAGCTGGGGAAAATCTAATACCCTTTTTTTTAGAACCAGCTTTCCTGAGTAGACATTTATCTTCACTGGGATTTTATTTCATGAAAACACTTGGAAATACTTGTGAGGTAACTATGAAGGCATGTCATTGGCATAATGATTCGTTTTAACTGTCTATGCCTGAGGCAAGAAAAGACAGAAGATTGGGGGATTTTTCTATGGTGAGTCTTGGGTTGACCATCTGCTGTCTGTTGAACTGTAATAATGAAGTCAGTCTGTTCTGATGTCCTGTGGAGAAGAACAGATCACATCATCTCTATGAGAATTTATCATTTCCTTTAATCCTTCTCTTCCTAGGTTTTGAAGGAGTCACCTGTGAGCGGAACATAGATGACTGTCCTAACCACAAGTGTCAGAATGGAGGGGTTTGTGTGGATGGGGTCAATACGTACAACTGCCGCTGTCCCCCTCAGTGGACAGGTATGTATGGTGTGACTAATCAGTCAGAATGGGGCATGGGTCAGTAAGCAGAGGCACGTTGTTATTGAAGTGGGCCCGTTTTACAAGAGTGTCTGTGCTACGTCATTGGGTATAGTGCTAACCCCATACATCCCCCTATGTTCACTTAAAGAAATATTCTCATGGACATTTATTGGGCAGATGTTCTGAACTCAGTACCCTGCTAAGTGCTGTAGGACAGCTGTTCCCAACCTTTCTGGCACCAGAGACTGGAAGATCTCTGGTGGAAGTTTTTCCATGAACCAGGAGTGGGCGAAGGATGGTTTTGGGATGATTTAAGCGTATCACATTTATTGTGCACTTTATTTCTGTTATTATTACATCAGCTCCACCTCAGATTTTCAGGCATTAGATCTCAGAGATTGGGGACCCTACTGTAGAAAATAGGAGAAAGAGCATTACTGAAAGACTCTGAAATTATTATCTGGCAAAGCAACACATTGCCTGGAACATAGTACATGCTTATTAAATATTCAAGAGGAAAAGAACATAGTTAAATGCAAAAATATAAATATTCTTACCATATACAAACAAAAAATGTTAACTGTGTGAGATAATAGATGTGTTAACTGATCTTATTTTGGTAATCATTTCATACTAAACATGTCTATCAAATCATCATGTATATACTGCTTAAACTTACATATATGTTGTATGTTAAATATAGCTCAATGAGGCTGGAAAAGGAAGAGAAACTACAACTTGTCAAATTCCAGTGTAGTATCAATGAATATTCTAAATTATAGTAAAAGATTATTAGAATACTCTTCCTTCTGCTCTTCTGTTATCAAGCTAAAAAAAACCCTGAAAATAAGTTGTACAGACTGGGAGAGTTCAGAGCTTCTTGTCTGTACACAGAAATCTGTCTCATCTTATTGTTATGACATAGTTACGCAGAGGTTTGAGCAGGTCTTCTTGAAGACATTATTTTTATGACACCTGTCTACATTTCTGTATTTTCCTTTTTTGTATCCTTTTTTGCACATAGATTCTTCTGCCTCTGACATTAGAAGAATAGATTTGCTTAAACATACAACCATTTGGACGTTTATAATGTTGTCTTCTTTTCTTCTTATTTTTGAAATTGAGTCTATATAGACTTTTAGTTCCAATTTCTGTTTGTATCTATTTATCTAACTGAAAATGGAGGCAAGTAAGAACTGATTAAGCAATTAAGAACTGGGCCTTTTGGAGAGAAGTTGTTTGATTTAATATGGAAACCCAAGAACAAGCTAATGTTATTAGGAAGGAGCTATAGTACCAGCGAAGGATTGTGCCCAGCAAAGAAGTCCTGATCTTGTATTGCTGTTGTTACTACCTGATATTCATCACCATCTCTAAATTGCCTTCCCTCATCTGCAGCAGCTAATTATTTAGAGTACTCTTTAGAGCTGTAGCCTATGAATAGAGAAAGACTAAAAGGATTTAGAACTTCAGTAACATGATTTCCTGGAAGGGCTTTTCTGCTTTTAATCCCCAAACTGTTTAAAAAAATACTTTCCCACTGGGTTTCCCTAAAGTTGGACTTCCCCTAGAATTTCTTCTTGGTATCTTGATCCTAGGACTTCACTCCCAGCGCTCTGGTCTTGCTGTCATATTCTCTCTTCTCTTCAGATTTTGCCATTTCTGTGGTGATTTTTTTTTCATAGGCCATTTTTTTTTCAACTTAAAAAGATTACTCTGTGATGACCTAATGGGAGGGAAATCCAAGAGAGGGGTTTATATGTGTGTATATATATATATACACACACACACACACACACACACACATATGTATACACACACACTTTGCTGTAGGGCAGAAACTAATATACTATACTCCAATAAAATTAATTAAAAAATAAATAGAAACGGTTACTGTAAAGTTAATTATGTGACAAATAATAACTGGAAATATTTAATTTTTCTCTTTTAATGATCCTTCCAGAAGTATTAGGCAGGATGAGATACATGTTAGGAACCTGACTTCATTCGAAGTCTCTCCCTTGCCCTGTGGGAGAGAGTGGCTCTGTATGGTACCAAGACTCCTGATGCCAGTGATTAAGTGATAATTGTGATTTCATTATTGATTTTTCTTCAATGACACAAATACCAATTGATTTCCTGCTTTGATATTAATTAGGAAAGCTCAATCTTGGGGAAAGGTTTCCCAGTGAAATTATATTTTACCAAAATTCCTTCCCCCTGGTTGTTTAATAGATACCTTTTTCCCCTATGAAAGTCCTTAAAAGATGCTTCTTGTTTTGTGTACTTTTGCATTGTTTTTCTAGATGGTAGAAATGATAAATATGTTCAGGGTGTCAGTATTTATTTCCTTTGACCTGCTGTCATATAAGGTACCCGTAGTCTTTGGTTTCCCACCAGTTTCCTTCCTCTTTTCACTGATGCCAATCTTGATTTCCAGTGACAACCTTGTTTTGTTTGTTTGTACCACATCCTATGCCTTCGTTCGTACCATTTCTTTTTTAATATTTATTTACTTATTCACTTTTGCCTGTGCTGGGTCTTTGTTGTCGCATGGGCTTTTCTCTAGTTGCGAGGAGCAGGATCTACTCTCTAGCTACCTCGCAGGGGCTTTTCATTGCAGTGGTCTCTCTCGTTATGGAGCAGACTCTAGGGCGTGTGGGTGCAGTAGTTGCAACTCCCAGGCTCTGGAGCACTGGCTCAGTAGTTGTGGCACACAGGCTTAGTTGCTCTGTGGCGTGTGGGATCTTCCCAGACCGGGGATCGAACTGTGTCTCCTGCATTGGCAAACAGACTCTTTACCAGTGAGTCGCCAGGGAAGTCCCACACCATTTCTTGTCTCTAGATTTCCTTCTCCACTCCTTTTCCTATAGTCCTCACCAGTTTTGTCTGCCAGGAGCAAATCAAATGGTTACCTTCTTCAGGAAGCCCCCCACGCGCTCTCTCTAGGCTAAGCCAAGTGTTACCTTCTGGGCTGCCTTACTGCCCCATACAGTTCTCTGTGATAATGCTCACTGCATTAATATTGGCATTATTCTAGGCCTGAGGTAATGGAATGAGGTCATTGAACTGTTGATGACAGCAGATACTAGAGCTCTTTACAGATCTTTGCTGTCAGTAGCATATAGCTGAGCTACTCATTATCCCCGCCCCAACATCATTCTGAGAAGAGTAGAAAAATTAGGGATTGTAGGGTTCCTATTTATATTGGTATTAGAGCTATAAATAAATTCACAGAAGTGTTTTCTGCTTTGTCCAAATTAAAGAAATGAATGTGGCTGGGGGCTGAGAGTTAACTAATGCTTATTAGCACCTAAATAATGTGCTGATTACAATATTTTATTTGGTGTAATCTTTGCAATAACTGTATGAAGGGTAGAGGTTTAGTTATTCTTTTTACAGATGATGATAGATATTCAGAAGGGTTAAACAATTTACTCATGGCTCATAGTGGTTGGATTAGGGTTTGAGTCTAGGCTTGTTGAACTTCAAGTCTGTGCTCAAATCTATGGTCTTTTTTTTTTTTTTTAACTACAGATCGACTGACTCTATGAGTTATCTTTAAAAATATTTTTATTAAGGGCTTTGAGTCTTTTAATAGATTGAACATTTAATTTATAGTTTTATTATTCTAGGTAGGATATTCTGGTTTGTTCTTTGTGTGTGTGTGTGTGTTCCTGGTTACTAGAGATTAGAAGTTAATATTAAGTAAATGTTTTATATTCATTCTGGTGGTTTTTTCATTATATTTCAAAGGCTTATTGCAACTTTGTTCAGAATTCCTTTTACAATTTTCAGCTATAGAGTTGAGGTATGAACTGTTAGTCTGGCTTTTGACAAAATTGAGAAGGAAGGGTTGGAGCCAGCTAAGAGAGGAAATTTAGTTGCCAGCTATCTGGGGGGGGAAAAAAAGGATGGAATTGTGTAGTTAAAAAAAACCTATGTATCAGTTTGAAGTAAACGGAGATTTGGGAATTGGCCACATTTTTAATGAGAAGAGCCTGATAGGTACCATGTTGTTTTCATAAGTCCACCTACAAAGAAGGTTTTGATCTTTTGTAGCAAGTTCTAGACTTCAAGATGACCAGAAATTTTTTCCAAGTCTACTCATGGTTTGATTTGGAATAAATGAGTCACGTTTCCTTTCTTCAGAAGCTTTTATTTACTGTTCACAGAACTGCTATCTCTTAGTTTCTTATTGAGGTATCGGGAAAATAAATGGTGCAGTTAAAAAGCTTTTCAAGCTTTTCACTTATTTGGCAGACAATTATCACGTAAGACATTTCAGGTCCATGCTGTTTGATATGGTAGCCACTAGCCACATCTTGCCATTGAGCATCTGAAATATGACTGGTCCAGACTGAGAAGTGCCTCAACTGTAAAACACTTGATTTTGAAGACTCAGTATGAAAAAAAGGTAGAATGTTTCACTAATTTTAAATATTGGTTAAATGCTAAAATAATAATGTTTTGAATACATTGAGTTAGATAAAATATAATATTTAAATTAATTTCACCTTGTTTTCCTTTGTTTAAGTTCTACCAGAAAATTTTAAATGATGTCTATATCTTTGTGATAGTCCTATTGGACAGCATTCCTTTGATGCAGAGAGGTTCTATGTAGAAGCATCCTCTTTGATCCTGAGTGGCAGAGGGATGGACATGAAATTGTCCTCCAGGGGCCCTTGTATTGGCCTCACTGGGGGAAAGTATATTGGTTTCCATGTCAGGTGTGGACAGAACTGTGTCCAAGCTCTGTCCAGAGCACTTATTTGTACCTACAAAGGTTACCACTGTTTCAGACAAACTGAAGTCCAGGTGGAAGAAAGAAATTGATGTTGGGAGTTGGGCAAATGGTTATAGAGGCAACTTATATAGGTAACTTATAAGAGGTAAGGCAACCTCTTGTTATAGAGGCAAGTCAGTAGTTAGATTTTTCTTTAGGAAGTGGAAGTTTACCTAAGAATTTGATGAAGCCTGAGCACAAATATCTATAC